GTTTCAGCCAAAATGGCTTCTCGGCTTGCTGAATAGTGGATATCGCTTCCAGGTTAAAAAAAAAGTGAGCGGTCTTCCTTCGAGGCTTGCGGCGTAGTTCGCTTACTTTGCACACATGTTATTAAATTGCTTGCTAGCGCCCACCTCATCATCCATAGCCAAGAACAGTACGGTCATACTGAGACCAACTTGGCTCGTCATGGACGCATAATGGCTCTTGTTGGTATGGGAGCGTCGTTCTATCATTTCGATGACGGTCAATTGTCGCTGTAGCAACTCCACGCCCCGGGCGTATCTGACAAAACGAAAAAAAAAAAAAAAAACCAGTAAGAGCCAGCTCTTATCTCATTTTCCTGGGACTTACTTGCGGCTCCTGACAGCAATGCCGATGGCTTTCTTGACGACATCCAAAGATGACGTGTAGCGTTCCTCCTGGTCATATAAATCGATGGCTGAAATATACAAGTCAATGGCAGCATTCACGTCGATAGGCTCCATCGCACTAGTGATATTTTTCAATGTCAGGTCAGCCGACAATGTGTCATGGATAAAAATAGAGATACTTACTTGGCAGCCTTGCACAGCTGCTCTGCACCTCGTGGCAACTTGCCGTCGGCCATGAATAAGTTGCTGGCCTGTTTATAAGCCTCGGCCCCGCGCTGGGGTCGGTTTAAGTTTTTGATAAGGATAAACCCAACATTCTCCATGGCCATGCCTGCCAGATGCATCCTAGCCAAGCCAAAGTGTGAGCATGGCCCTGACTTTTTTTTTATGTCGTTCTCTCCCTCCATTGCTTACTGATAGGTCTTGAAGTAGGCTTCGGATGCTTTGGTGTAAGCATCCACGGCTTGTTCAAACGATCGAGCCGTTTTGAACGACGTGGCTAGATGCCATTTAAAATAAACAGTGAATGGCTTTCCTTTGCTAAATAAATAAATACAACAACGATTTACCTGCATCACTGTAATAGCCAGCCGCTAAATCCCAATCAGGTTGACGAAAGAACCCTTTACTGGCGCTATGAATTGTAAAAGAGGGCTAATGTGAGCAAGTTTATGGCTGCCATCAATATTCAACGTACGCCTTGTCACCACTTTGCATCATTTTGACACCTTCTCTAATATTCTCGGCTTCCATTGCAAAATGAAATTAATACAGGTAAAAGGAGGAAAGATATGGCTGGAACGAAGAGCGGGATTTCCATTTGCTGGTTTTTTTTTTTTTTCTGAATTTGAGAAAAAAGTACAATCGTTTTAATCATTTTTAGCATGGTATATAATATAAGAAGGAAGCCCATAAACGCCAAAGCCCATAGCCTTGGCCATCTTGGCAAAGCCTAGATAGATAACAAAAAGCAGTCAGCCACCGGCCTTTACTTGATGAACTCGGCTCTTTTACCTTCGGTCTCGACTTCATGTTTTAAAACAAAGGACGGAAAGTTGGCTCCTTCGCGGTGGACATTTGCTTTGACCAAAGTAAACGTGGCACCCTACGGGCAATAAAATGAGTGGCCCCATCCACTTTCCTTTTTTGTCCTTACCACCCCATCCAAGGTCACCTTGTTTAAGCGGTCATGATGGGTTGGCATGTCAACCATTAAATATCTTTCTGTAGGGAATTCATTATAGCCTTCTAGTAGAACATAATCCTATGTCACAGGTAGAATGAAAAAAAAAAAAAAACAAGGAAAGGATGAGACAATGGGCGAGAAAAGTGAGTTCCTGCATAAAAGGCTGGAGATGCGCCAAATTCGAGGCCATTGGCTGGGATTCTGACGGTGTTTTTTTTTTCTAGTGGACCAACGACTTACTGGATCTAGATCACGTTGGATGACAAGAGATTCCTCGGTTTCTTGCCAATTATTCTTATCGTAGCCCCAAAAGGAACCATCGTCAGTCACACGGAGACAGTTGGGTACCACAATATCGACGTTGACCGACATCAGATCACGCAGGATGGATGTGGAATAGCGCACGACGTCGACATCGAGCCAAAGCACCCATTCATGTTCTTGCCGAAGCGCCAGGCTGAGCAGCATGTTACGGGAGCGAGCCATGTAGGAGCGCCGGAGTGGTTGTAGATGGAAGTCGTGACGCCGGCCCTCGGGCAACTGGAAGTGATAGTCCTTTTCAAAGACCTCGAAACTGTGGTAGTGATATTTCCAACGGCGCTGCTGTCGGCGCAAGAGGCTCATGGTGTTGTCAGTGGTGTCGGACACAAGGAAGCCAATCGAGACCTTGTTTTTAGGGTAGTCAAGGCGGTCGACTAGCTCGAAATAATGTGGAAGGTACCGAGCGGCATTCTTCACCGGTGTCAAGATCAAGACATGGTCAGGTTCGGCCTGCGTCACACTGGGGGCCAGTCTTGCCGAATGACTGGCTGCAACTGAGGTTAGGTGTGAGGACAGGTACTTGGGCACACACTCCCATGCCACAATCCATGTTAAAAAAAAAAGGGTCAGCGCAACGCAGAGCCATCGTCGATGGCTTAAAAACTGCTGGTATTTGTTCATGCGCGGCGGTGGGCTGGTTGAATTATTTGTTGGCAAGGCATATGGGTAATGCTGTTTCTCCATCAACATCGTCATCGGTTGATCCCACCACTGAAAATAATAATAGTAATAATAATAATAAAAAAGGAAAAGGGAAAGGAATGGGATAGCTTGTCTGGAGTGTAAAGGGAAAAAAAAAGTGGAGACGACCAACGGCACACAAGCAAGAGGGTAATAAATAGTACGCACTGAAAATAAAGGGGGTTTGAGTGATAGACACAAACAAGGAGACGCGGTAAATGTGGGAAATGATTGAACCTGTAAAAGAACACAGGGAACACAAGGAGTCAAAGGACCAAAAAAAAAAAAAAAAGGGTAGAAAATAGGAGCTTGGGAAAAAGGGGGAGGGTTTCGCTACAAAAGCAGGCATATCTAATGCAAAGGAGGCAATAAAAAAAAAAAAAGAAACGAAAAACAATGATGGACCTCTTTTATTTTCAAAAGGTGATGTCCACTGTAGACGTTCAAAACCTTGTTCCTACCTTGATAGATTTCATGAAGTTCGGATGGCGTGTCTGCGCCAACCTGGCAGGACTGCCAAATTTGGAAAAAACGCCAATTTTTCTGCCTGTGCCCATGGGAGATATCAACGTTGCACGATCATGCCATTTTTTTATTTTCTGTTCAAACGGTCTGGGTTAAGCGCAAACTGGCATCGGGTATTTGGGTCGTTTCAGGGAGAGGTTCCAAGCCACGGTCAGGGTTATAAAACTTGTCCTTGATTGGCTGCAGCAAGACGTTCAATTTGGGAGTGATGACCATCAAGTTGTTTGTGGGTATCGTGAGCCAATCGGCCTTTTCAAACGTGAGGGGCTCTACATGTAATTTATATATAAAAAAAATGAGCTTTCCCCTCCTTTTTCATCGTGGGTGCCACAAAACTTTACCACTGGCAATCACAACCATGTCTTCTCGTCGATCAGCCTTGATCATTCGGTAATGGCCTGGTCGATAGCATTCAAACCGTGTTCCCGATGAAAAGTATAACGACGCAGCTTCCTCGGTCTTGCTGCTGATATATCGTACACACACCACACTTTCGCCATCAGTCACAGCAAAATTCAGCAAGGATGGCTGGACAAAAAACCAGTGAGCCGCCTCCTTTTTTCAACGTGCATCCCTTACCTCTGTGATATCCAATTCCTCGGCCCAAGCGTTCAATTGTGCAATTGTTTTCACCATGGCTTCTTTCAGCTGGGTTTGGTCAAACCGATCAGCATCGATATTTGGAAGCTGTTAAAAAAGTGGGTGAGCAGCAGGCCCTTATTTGCTGAGCCAAGTCTTACAAAGCTAAGAAACAGCGCAAAGGCCCATTCTGAATCTGTGTTGCCTTGCACAAACAAGAACAGATTTTCGGGTAGGTGAGATAGCAGCTTGCGTTTCATCTGCAAGAAAAAAAAAAAAAAAATGAGTCACCGTGATTTATCGTCCTTCCCATTTGCTTCCGCCAAATACCAGGCCATGACGTTTTTTCTGTACCTTTTCAAATTGAGCAATGCCACCGTTGTGCATCCACATGATTTTTCCATAACTAGAAAAAGAACATGCCTCGTGAGTTAAAAAGAAGTCTTGTTTGGGCGTCCTTACTTCCAAGGATGACAGTTGGCTTCGTTCACAGCACCTGACGTGCTTGCGCGAACATGCGCAAACACCAGAGGGCTCTTGATTTTGTCGGCCAAGCGCACGAGGTTCGTATTGTTCCACGCCGGTGTCACAGAAGTGAAGATGCACGGTGTCTTTTTTTCGTCGTCTTTGGCATAGTCGCTGTCGTACCAGCCTACACCAAACCCATCACCTGATCCATTCAACAAGACAGCCATTAGCGTTTGAGTCTCCTGTCTATTTCCCCTTTTCTTCCTTACCATTGAGCGGCCGTCGATGATCCAATCGCAGCTTGGAGTCAAATGATTGACTGCAAAAACAAGCCTGGTGAGTTTGCTGTTCGCTTGTATTTTTTTTATGGCTTACTTCACAATCGAATGGCTAGGGTAGGTAATCAAGTGACCCAGCAAGATTGACTGCTTGCCTTTGTAAACAAGCAAACGGCACATGTCAAAGAAAAGAAAATGCAGAAAGAAAGAGAAATGCAGAACGGTGCCAACGAAAGAAAAAAATACAAAAACTGCAGAGCGGGCATGGCCAGCCAATCAGATTCTCGGGACATGAGGTGACAGGCGGCGAGGACATTGCCAATGGCCAAAAGTCAACCAAACCTCCTTTCTACCTTCTTTCTCTTATCCTACTGATGTTTGTCACACCGCCGGAGTCACTTTTATTTCTAGTTGATTCACTGGCTCTGTGAAAAAGAAAATACCAGCAACTTGGCGCCATGTGAGATGTTGAGGGCAGCAGGAAAAAAAAAAATGAAAGATGCAGCCTTGCATGTCTCCCAATTTTTGAACGGCAGTTCTTTTGACTCCAAAAAGCAAAAGCAAAAGAGGCAAAAAGATGTCTTCGAAGAGGTTCGAACTCTTGCCCTTGTGCGTGTGAAGCACATGTGATAACCAACTACACCACGAAGACCTCTGTGACGTCGAAACCGACAGACATCACTAATAGGACACAGGCATGTTCGGCCGCCGACGGTCCGAACGAATACCCGAGTGCCATTAGCCAATGGGATGTCGATCACAAAGTTTGTGGCACCCTGCGGACCTTTTTTTTTTTTTTTGTTTTGCGACTGCGACTCTTAGATTGGCTTTTTGGAATATGCTGGCACCAGTTGCAGTTTTTTTTTTATTAGCGCTCGACATCCATAGGTTCGCCCTGCTCAGTCTCGGCGGCACTGGCGACGCTGAGTTCATAGTAGGCATTGGGATGCTGGATGGTGTCGATGCGGTCGTGGCCAGGATGGGTGAATTCAAAATATTTTGTACAGGCGAGCTGGTAGTGCGAGCCTTGGATGAGGTTCATGATGTCTCGGACCTGGTTTGGCAGCAGTTTATCCTTGTACAAGCGCGCTTCAAGATTACCAGAAGAGAAGTGGCGGAAAGGGCAGCCATGGTGATCACCTGCTGATGGAGCGTCGCCCTTGATGATCTTACTGCAGCTGTAGGCACCGTAGCTTACTCGTCGTCCTTCCAAGCCATAGTTGTGTCGAATGTTGTAGGCGTAGTTTTTTTGGAACTCGTCGTCGGTCTTTTTGCTGAAGGCCATACGCCAATACAGCAAAGCTTGGTCGACAGAGAGACCAATGGCTTTGAGAAACAGGCCAAACTGCATACGACCGCTGTGTTTCAAATGCTTGTCCTGGACCAGAGCATCATGGAGTGTGCGCATACACAGAGGTGCATGTTGCTCCACAGCCTGCAAAAAAAAAAAAAAAAAAAAAAAAAATCAGCCACCAAGGCTCTCTCTACTTCTCTCCTTTCTTCCTTACCCCATCGACATTGGCTGCTGTAAGATCACCGTCCACAACCTGTTCTGCACCATAGACCTTGCCAACATATTGTTTTTCGACGTTCAATAGAATAGGCTTCAGTCGATCGTCTTCTTCTAATCTTGGTAGCGCTTTGGCAGTGGCCTAAAAAAAAAAAGGGTAAGCGCGGGCTTCTTCTTTCGTGTCCTAGTGCTTACCACCAGCATGCTTTCCAGCCGAGAGGTGAACTCCTCCATCACCAAGCTTGTTTGATGTTCCATAGGTACATAGGCTTTCCCTTGATGGAGGTAAATGGCTCGTTGGCGCACAAGTGAAGGCACCTTTTCAAAAGGGACCTAGATAGAAAAAAAAATAATGAGCCGCTGATCTTTTGCCGCCCATTTTTTTGTTGCCTACCTCGAAATACGTCTGCTGCTCAACATATTCCTTAACATTGTGTTTGATTTTCAATGGTACGCAGCGTTCCAGTTGATTTTGAATCGCTTGTTTCTGCTCTGCAGTCACCTAGAGAGAAAGAGAAGCTGTAGGTCACGTTTTTTTTTTTTTTTTTTTTTTTTTTTCCAGCGGCTTACGACATGCCAATCCAGCTTTGCTGATTCCAAAAAGGCACTTCGATCCTTGACGTTTTCCTCTAGCAGGCGATATCTAGTCAAGAGAAAAGAGATGGTGAGGATGGGTTGAGCGCAGGTGAATGGAGGCATACTTGAAGAGGGCGGCTTCTTGCCGAAGGAACCATTCTCTGGATTCATCGCTTCGACAGTACGCCAGGCGCAAGACAAAATGACTGATGTGATCTTTCCTTCGTTCGCTGATAAGATCAAATGCGGTATTGGAATGCATCGGTAGGTATTTGTCCACGGCATACTGAACGTCTTTTTTGAATTGTTCGTCATTGAGGTTTCGCAGTTTGGCGCTTTCAATGGCTTTGAGCACTGTGGTCGATCATGGCATGAAATAGAGAGAGAGCGAAAATAAAAAGAATTTGGTTAGCGAGCTGTTTCTAAAGAAAAAGGGAAGGTGAGCAGCGACTTGCCTTGCAGTCGATCAAGAGCAAAGATTTCAAATTCTTCAATAGTGATTTCATCGGTAGGGGGGTCCAAGTACATGTTGAGACGAAAGGGGTATTCAGAGTCTAGCATCGAATCTCGTCCAACAGACACATGTTGGTTAGCCACAGCAGCAAATCGATTCGTTCTTGATTTCTTGGATTTAAACATAGTGGGCTGTGAAAAAAGAAAAAAAAAAAAAAAAAAAAAAAGAACGCGGTGCCGCGCACCCATTCTCTTTTTTTTTTTTTTTTTGTTCAGGCAATCCAAACGGCGAAGAGATGTGACAGGTTTTTTTTATTTTATTTACTCAAGCAGTGAGTTTCTTAATCTGGCCAAGCATATTCCTCATTTGCTCGTATTCATTTTCACTCTGGGCATATTTGAGCTTAAAGTCGATGAGGGTGGCTTCGACATCGGCAAGCTGGTCTTGGAGCTGTGCATGGCGTTGGACGAGGCGGGTGTTTTCTTTGGCCAGGGCGTCAAATTCACCTTGGCGCTGGAGCTGCAGCTGGTGTCGGCGGGCATCGACGTTCTGGGTCAGTGTGGTGAGTTCTCGTTTTAGAGATTGGTTGATTTCGCTTGCCCGGGCCATCGACATCTTGTCCTCAGCGACTTGCTTGGCCAGCGAGTGATGCTCGGTTTCGAGTTGATGGTATGATCGTTCCAGCTGCTTTGCACGCTGGGTCAGTTCGTGGTTTTGTTGCCGCCAATGGTCTTCTTTGTTCTGCCACTTGGCTTGCTTGGCCGCCTTGGCCTGATGTTGTTTTGCCATTTTTGCTAGCTCCTTGCTGGACAACTCGAATGAGAGGGCATCCTGCACAAGCCCCACAGGGTCGTCCTGAAGAAAGAACTGGTCAGGGCCAACACAGCAACCATTTTGCTCGACGCTTTACCTGGTAGGGATCAAATATGTCGTTGGCCATATAGGCCAGGAGTGATTCGAATTCCAGGCTGAGGAGGGTCGATTGACTTTTTTGGATGAATGCCAAAGCAACGTTGAGCAGGGCAGCACTGCCCTGGACAAAGATCATATCGAGGATCCGGAAGACCAGCGGTAGTGGGCATCGGTAGGCAAAGAGAGTCATGAACCAGGGCGAGGCGTACATGGTGGCTCTCACCCCCTGAGCTTCCAGATGACGGTGAACTTGAGGAAGGTGTTTGAGCAAGAGTTGATCGAGTTGGTAAAGGCGTTCATGTAATCGTTCCATCTTGGGGGTAAAGTGACCTCGAAGACCATAATCATGCATCAAGTGGATCAATAAGCAAAATGTCGCCTCGTCAGGCATCTGCAAAAAAAAAAAAAAATGAGCCAAAACGAGTTCATGCTTCCAAAAAAAAAAAAATTACATGGAGCAGCAGGCACCCAACAACAAAGGGCAGTCCTTGACAGTAACCTACTTGGGGATCGTACAAGCTGTAGGCTTTGATGACATTAAACAGCAGCTCCTGACCATCGCCATCACGCTGTCGGAAAAAAGTGTGTGCAGGAAAGGTGCGAGCCAAGTCGCGCCGGATGATCTTTTCGTGAGGGCTCGATTTGTCCAGCAAGTCGCGATAGATGGATTCGTAATGGTCGTGCTTCAGCTGAGCTTCGGAAAACAGCTGCCACAGAGTGCCCCGTAGCGAAGGAGGCATACCCAGGCAGATTTGTTTTTGCGTTTCAGGGTCTTGTTTCACTTTTTTTACATCGTTAATCACTTTGGCCCAAAAATCTACCCAGGTATGAAAAAAAAAATAGGTGAGTGTTCAGTTCTTCCTACTGCTGGTCGGGTGAGTGGTTACCCCAGTCGTAGGCATCAGGGTCTACGCTATTCCTGAGGGACGTCAAGTCTTTTTCTGGCTGTGGCGGCTGTGAGAAGGAGGGCTCGGGTTCTTTTTGGGTGTCGGTGGAGGCAAGATGGGAAAAACTGGGGGTGCGCTGGCGTACACGGTAGAAATCCGACGGCCGGAAAGTAGTAGCAATCATAGGTGAAGGGTGAATGGTAAAGGTGTTGGCCCGGGTGCGCATGGTAGGTGTTCCTTGTGAAGAAGAAGAAGAGGAAGAGATGGAGGTTTTGCCTGAATCGGTGGGGCTTGTCCAAGCCCGCTGTCGTTGGACAGTGGGAGGGGTATGGTCGGGAATGGATGGGTATTGACTGGAGGTGGTTGGGGTGGTCATGGCGGTTTCGACGTCGTCCAGGTCATCATCGCTATGGCTACAACTTGTGCTTCTGGAACTTGTGGTGGTTGTATCATGATCGTTCATTATATCCATTGTCCAAGAGTTGAATGGTGAGTATCAATGGGCAAAAAAAAGAGAGATGGAAAGAAGAGGATGAAATGATATAAACGATGAGAGAAAAGGGATATATAAACAAAAAGGCAAGTGGCAACAAGAAAAAGGGCAAAATAGATATAAACAAAAAAAAAAAAGAGGAGACAAAGAAAAAAGAAGAAAAGGGGGTCAAGGACAACGCTTAGGGTGGAAAGAAAAAAAAAATAAGCGGAGGAGTTTGAATTGCGTTGCATGAAAAATTAAAAAGCTTAGATGGGATAGGAGGGCTAATAAATCATCAACTAAAGGTTGGTCGTTGTCAAGGGATGAGAATGGGATTCGTCTGGAATCCACATTCTTTTTTTTGATCTGGTGGATGACCCCTGGGACATCCTCCCTTTGAAGTGTAGGCTCGTCATGTTTTGTGTGACATGTCGTGGCCTCCTTTTTTTCATCAGGAAGACTACTTGTTGTAGTCATGTCCGACGTGTAAATAACGTTCATTTATTGATTGGAAGATGTAGGAAAAGGATCCTCTCGTCGATCGTAATAGTGCCAGTCTTTACAGTCTACGCAGTCTGTTTGAGGTAGGCACTCTGGCAATAAGGGGAATTCTTCGGTCTTGTTCAAAATATTATCAATCACATCCTTGATCCGATGCGTTCTTGCATCTACACGCCAGCCTTTGTCTTTGACTGTGTCCCATTGACACACCTTGAAAAGAGCAAGTAGAAAAGAGTTCAGTCATCCACAGGCTTGGCGGAGGTTTTGTTACCTTGCCAGCATGGCAGCTGGTTTCCATGGCAAATCCACCATACCAACAGATACTAGAGGGGCCATT